CAAAATATGAAGTATTTTTGATAAAACAAGGCTATATTAAAAAATGTATAATAATATTAATTCAATAAAAATATTAAAGCATGGGATACCTTTGAGAATATTTACTAACACTTTGCCTAACCAATAAGTGATTTTTCAGAAAAACAGTGACTGATTGAATCATATCGTGACTCCCGGAAACAAAAAGTATGTTTAGGATCAATTACCTCCTCAATTACTACAGTCAAATGCGGGGTTCCACAAGGTTCGATCCTGGGTCCTCTCCTATTCCTTATTTTTATAAATGATCTCCCACTCAATATTGAATCAAGTCAGATAGATTTGTTTGCTGATGACAGTACCCTGCATTGTTCACACAAAGATATTTTATCCATCGCCAATAATCTCCAAAATGATCTCTATTTGGTTGCTAAATGTTGTTAAAACAATGGGATGGTAATCAATCCTTCGACAACAAAATCAATGCTGATTTCAACAAAACACAAATAAAAATCAGAAAAACCTAACTTTATCACTCCATGGTGAGAAAATTGAGACGGTTACTACCGCAAAATTACTTGGAATTCAAATTGACCAAGACTTTAATTGGGAAGCACAGATAGCAGATATGTCTAAAAAAACTTGCATCAAAAATGTTTCTCCTAAATAAGATAAAAGATCATTTACCTTACGAGACAAGAATTTTGTTTTATAACAGTTACATACTACCAATATTTGATTATTGCTGTATTATTTGGGGAAATGCTACCAAAAGTAGACTAAACCACACCAAATTAAATATACCCAAATAAGAAATTGTCATTTATGCTTAAAAGTAAAGAGTAATTAATCCAACTTAAAATTCAATAATCAGTTATAAATACTCTAAGTAAAATATTAAATTCTTCAACAATGTTATATAACACTTATTTTCGTTGCATAATTTCTGAATTATTGTGCATATTCTACATTTTGCTAGATAAAAGGCTGATTAATGACAACACATTTTTCAAACTGCTATGTTAAAGCATTTAATTACTTGTGTCACAAAACAAAATATTGATAGGCATCATAATATAATATAATATAATACAATATAATATAATGATTCAATGATAGGTTGTTCGGCAACAAAACACACACCCTCAGTAGCTAAATCATCCCAGCAGTTGCCAACGGTTGTCGCATATTTATTCTTTTGTTGGTAATGGGAGCTTTTACAAGACACTGATATCCATTTCATACAGATCGAAAGAGAACTTTCATCGTTAGAAATGAAATGAAATGAAATGGGGTTTAACGTCCTACTGTTCTGCTCCTAAAATGGGCTAATGAAGACGGGCATACGTCATACAGTGTGCTATGAGGGAAATTTTGCCCGGGCAGCGGCACTACGGCCTACTCTTGTATCGAATTCCAACTGCCATGGGATCTTTTACGTGCACGCCAATGTGTACACGGGACCTCGGTTTTTCGTCCCATCCGAACGACTAGACAGCTGTCCTTGTCAGGTCCTCCGTCCTGCATCACTGACAAGGGGAAAACCACGCTGGAAAATCTGGATGAACTTTCTCGGCCAATGCAGGAATCGAACACCCGACCTCCAGGCTAGCGAGCCAGCGTCTTACCCACTTAGCCACGTGATCCCCTTCATTGTTAGAGCATTCATAAGGGGTTCAACAAAGTGAAATAAATGGGCTATTACTCTTAAGTATTTGATGGAAAATGCTGAAAATCAATTGGCTTTTTCATTTTGTGACTGTCAGTGAGTAGTTGGCTATTGCTTTCATAGTATATGTATACCAGCTGTAATACTGATGTATTTTAATTGTAAGAATCTTGGTACTCTTATCAGGCAGGGTCAGAATGTGACCCTCTATGATAAAATCTGAACAGACAAGACAAGAATAGAAGAAAAGTTCCAGTTTTACTGTATCAAAAACAGATTTGCAACCTGGAATTTATGTCACAGAGATAATCCGATTTCTATTCAAATACCAGGATAGAAAACACCTTGAAAACCATACTTATGGCATCCAAAGGTGATACCTGTGACACAACAGAAACATCACTGAAAAAAAAAGATCCATTGGACATGACAGAGAGAGGCAGGAGTTCGCAACTTGGAAAAACCAGAGTCGTATTTACTTCATCCATCGATAATGTTACCAAATTTATGACAGACAGAGAAGAAGACATAGGAAAACTTTGTCATGACGATTTGACTAAGACATTACTGGAACTAAATACATACATGACTGAAGTTTCAGATACATTTTCCGGGATTGAATCATTAATTTTCGCTGATGAAATAGTGCCAGAAATTGACCAAATGGTGTACCACCAAACTGTACAACAGATCCTGTTCTTTAAGAGAAAGCTTAAAGGTAGAGAAGACATTGAATATTCAGAAACATCTGAAACGTTTTCCAACTCTACAAACCGATCAAAGAGAACGGATACATCAAGAAAAAGATCTGAAAGACAGCGCGCGGCTGTAATTGAGAGCAGCTTAGCTGAAATGAAATTGAAAGCCTAACGGATCAAACAAAATGAAGAACTTGCAAAACTAAAGCAAAATGAGAGTCGGAGACAAATAGATCTGCATCTGCAACATCAACAATATGTCTAGAATGTTGATTTACAAACCGAGTTTGCTTCAGCTAGGATTAAACAGAAAGTCGTGGAATTGACTCGACAACATAATCACCTAAACACTAACCACTGTTTAACAGCCAGAACAGCCTACATTTAAATACCAACAACGTAGTTTAGGCCTTAGGAAAAATTATGGCCAGAACTACACTGCCAGATTTAAAACCACTTGTTTTTCATGGAAATAAAATGATGTACCAGAAGTGGAGAAGTAGTTTTAGACTGTTTTGAAAAGAGAATGAACCACCCAGAAAAAATTTAAGGTTATTTGGCTGACTATATGTCAGGTGAGGGTTTTATCTGATTGAAAGCACACTGCATAATTATGCAGAATTTCGAAAAGGCCATGAGGAAGCTCGAAGAGGAATATGGGAATCCTGTAGCTATTTGCGAGGCATACCTTAAGAAGCTTGAAACCTGGCCTAAGCTAAAAGCAGCCAACGCCAAATCACTCAGATGATTTGCTAACTTTCTCGAAAATTGTTCAGAATCTTTAAAATGGCTTGGATACACCAGAAAAATAAATGATGTCAGTCATCAAGAATGCCTTTGAATTTTTATCTTGGGGCATGAAGAACAAATGTCATGAGGACATCTAATACCTTCGTGACAAGAAAACTGAACCAACTTTTGATATTTATATAAACTTCATTAAAAAACTAGCCAGGGCACTTGGAAACCCAGTATTTGGCGAGTGCTCTACAACTGACACTGAAAGGTTCCACAGACCTTTTAAAGACATGCAGAAATATCCAACCATAGCATTTGGAAATTCTGGGAAGGGCTATGAGCAATCGACAGAATGCTGCAGGCAGGAGAAATAATCCTTGATGTCTTGACTGCAGATCAGATCACTGGCTTGAACACAGTTCAGAGCTAAGACAGAAGCTAATTTCGGAGAGAAAAGAGTTCTTACAAAAATGAGACATGTGCCCTCGATGTACATTTAAAGGTCACGAAGCCAAAAACTTACTAAATACGCAGCAGAAAGGGGCTCATTACATTATTCCATATGGACAATGAAGCCAGAATGTAGGACACATTAAATACAGTGCGCCATAGAGCAATTGGTTATCTTAATACCGGTTGAAGATTTTTAAAGGTGAACCAGAAGACCATAATCATATCTCGGTCAAGGAGCCTTTATATCAATTATTTTTTTTTTTTTTTTAGACCGTATATATACACACATACATATATCTGGACAATAGTAGCATTTTAATTGTTGTTAAATCTATTTAGTTTAATGGGAGAGAGAGAGAAATAGTGTTTAACATCGACTCTACACAAACAGGAGGCTCAGGAGAAAACCTACGAGGTTGGAAAGGCGACATGCGGTGAAATGAAACCACGCCACTTGACTCAATGACAGACCTTATGATGCAATGCGTACGCATTAACCATTAAGCAACCCATGTTTTATGGGACATTATCAGTGTTTTAATTGTGTTTAATTCTACCAACTATATTTAATGCAATAATTATGTTCAACAAAGTGAATCAAGGGCCAGAACTCAAGGAGTAATCAACGGAAATTGCTGAAATTCAATAGGATTCTTCGTTTTACTGATCTAAGTAAAGCATCTAAATTTTTAAAATACAGATCGGATGATGATAGAGCATTCACAAGGGTCAACAAAGTGAAACAAATACCATAACTCTAGAAGATAAAAACTGAAATTGCTGACCCTTTGTTTCCGATAATGTAATACTCTTAGTTTCTTGTCAAATGGCGAATGTTGCCACAGTCTCACTTCCGTTCTATTTGTAGCATTATACTCAACGTTAAGTTGCTGACGATGTATATGTTAAAGATACATTATGCAAGAGCCAAATCAGCCTACTGCAGGCCTTTTTTTAGGCCTGAAATGTTATATAAACTTTTAATTAGATATTTATTAACAAAACACAACCATAATCAACTCTCAATGGCATCGGATACTCAAGATTTTAACTAATTAAAGTCTCGAATATACCAGTGCCCTGGTTACCACAATGCACAAACTTGTCAAAACTACAAACTGTGATAACTTTGTTCAGAATGAAGTAATTTGAATGAAATTTTCATGTTACATTATCTATTTTTAAGCTACATGTATTATAGCAAAAATGGTCAGCTCTTTATCTAAATCTTACATAATGTATCTCTCAGGATATGGTCTCAGGATATGGTCGCAGGTCCCCGAAATACCCCTTGGATCTGCACAAGGGTTAAATAGACTTCATCGTCTTACAAATGCAAACAATATACATAAATTTCAAAATGATCAGATAATAAATGTAATCTGTAGACTGTTCACAAGAAATTGTGGACAACGGACAGAGGCAATAATGTATACCACATTTCCATGTGGGCATATAAAAATATAATAGACTCTCTCCATGATATAAAAGTACACCCATCAGAAATTTATCATCTGTTCTGTTCAAAATATGGCACAAGTTTCTTAGTATATTACTGTTTAACTTAGAGATAAACTTATTCCTTATCAAACATTCTGTAAAACTTTGTCTGGCCTATAAAGCATCATCAAAATCAAATCTTTAAAAAAATGTAAATTGTAAAGTGAACAATTTTCGCCCCAAGAAATAGAGTCGGTCAGTAACCGTAAACATAGGTATTTCTATTTTTGCCCTATGGTATGCTACTGAAAAATTATGATTTTCCTTATTAACAAATGAAAAATTCCAGTAAATTTTACAACCCAGAAAAAACTCTGACCTGTATAGTGGTTACACGAAATTGTGGATGACTCTGGACAAAGGGTGGCAAGAGTATTTGGCAGGGTATAAAAATCAGTGGACGATAGAAGGGAGACACAATAAAGCTATTCTTTTACGATTTACCCACTACAGAAACCATGCAAATGATGAAAATCTGAGGTGACATTTTTAATTGACAATTCTAATTTTAATTTGTTCACACTTTTAGAAACAAAGTTTGAATTTCTGGACGATTTTTGTTACATATTCCATTATATGAAAAATTGCTGCATATTATATTTTGGTTTTGTTTTCATAATTAAATAATCAATTTGACTCCATAATTAGAGTGGATAAAGTAGTGAAAAATTTGTTTTGTCTGAAATATGCAAATGATGAAAATCTGACGAATCTGCTATAATTTGATTAATTTCAACAGATAATTATAAAAACATGCTTGGGTGAAAGACTGGAATTGACGATGCAATCAATATCACAACTCTATGTAAAATTCCAATCTGATTAAAACCCAGATCCTATTTCGTTTCATTTTTTTTTATAGTTCAAAATTTCGTTTTACTTGTCTTTACTACACTAGGATCTGGAAGAGTTGTTATATTACCGGCGTTTTGGTTGAAGTGATGGATTAGCCAATGACACGGTCGGTTACGGCGACTTCTTGGCGTGCCATGCACGGAACTGTGGGTAAACCACTAGAAACGTGAACACTGATTGAATAATCAATGTCTGACGTGATAGGATCAAAAGCCGCTTGTATGACCCCTGACATGACCTTCCAGTACAACTTGTCAGATCTTCATGTAATGTAGGCCATTGAAAGTTTAAAAACACGGAACGAAATATAGATCTGTATTTTAATCAGATTGTGTAAGTGTATGTATCATAACATAATTTAAAGCACACAATATCCATTAAGTTGCAGCAGTCAAATATTATGAGATCAATTTTATATTAACTTTCATCGAGCGCTTTTGTATTCAAAATAATTAATTTTTTCAAAAGATAAATTATCAAACCAACATTTGACACTTATTTTGGACATATAATGTTTTGAAAGGCTGTTCAAATTATTTGAATCAATATACATATAAAACAATATATCTTTGTACATATAAAAATAATGGAATGCATATAATAATATATCATTATAAATATCAAAAATAAAAAATATTCAATGCAAATAAATATCATTAGCTAAAATAATCTTGATTTTATAATGTGTGACAAAAATAAAGAACACATTGATTTTATAATATGGATTTCCTTTACCCTGATAAAGTATTTATTACCCAAATTATTTCACTCACAGAAAAGATATTTCAGGACTAAATCATTGTATCATTATGCCATTCGGTGAAAGGTCTTCAGGTCAAACAATTTTGAATCAAATGCTTTCTCAGTGACATATTTTTGTCACTACTGGGATCAGTCTTTGAAAGCTCAATTATTCTTATTATATAAAGGGAACAGTCGCACCATCTTATTTAAGAGTTTGCATAAGAACAATTAACAAAACTAGTGGCTTAATCAGAGAAATCTGGGACTTCTATACGCCACTATATTGATTTCCAATTTTATACATATGCAACTAAATTCTACCTCTGTGTATACATATTAATGAAAAACTTCAACAAAAGTAAAATTGGAGTATACATTCTACCTCTGTAGATGCAAATTAATGAAAAACCTCAACAAAAGGCATCCCATAAACTCCAAATCCCATACGTTTGGCCATTTTAGCTAGTCCCTCAGTTTCAATATGATGGTCAATAACGGTTTCTGGAAAATTCAATCCTTTTCTGTGAAGATCAGCATTAATTAACAAGGTACAGCCCCCAACGCCATCAATAGGTACAACTCGACCTTCTGCACGGAGATCAGAAAGATACAGGCGTGTTATTCTACCATAACCTTCAAGCATAAGCTCATTCTCTTCAAGTTCTTTCTGCTTATTCATCGACAATTCGGTCTCACGCCAGGTATTTTTATCATAAACTCTTTTATTATTATTGTCTTGATAAACACAAGAAGGCACAACAATATCTTTATCAGAAGATAGAAGATGCTGAATAATATCTGGAGGAAGAAATGATATGTCACTGTCAATCCACAAAACCCAATCTTCATCTCTTAATCCAGACTTTAACAATAAATTACGCGACTCTGCCAAATGTTTTCTGCGAGGAAGTTGCAAAAACTGGTTATGGATGTCATTCCATGCTCCTTTTATCTGACCGGTAAGATTAAAATGGAAAACCTTTACACTCCTAAACGATTTTTCTAAATCAAGAGCAATGGATTGGGCAACACTTAAGGTGGAGTCTCCACTACAATCTTCTCCAAATGCTATGGAAATTAAATCGTGGGGATATGTGAGCGATTTTAACAAATTACTGAAACGAATTAACAAATTAGCAACATTATGTATAGGAGTTAATATTAATACTTTCTCCTGATATTTCATTGGTTTGTATTGCAGAAAATGCTTTACAATTTTCTCTTCCACTGGACTGATGATGTCGGAGGAAGAATAATCAGGTACAGGTGGAATCCCTGGAAGATAAGGCATATCAGCTTCTTTCTGTTTCTGTACTGGTAAAGCATAGTTTTTACGATGTTTGTTTTCTAGTACAGGCATATAATTATCGAAAGGAATATTTTTGCTTGCTTTCATTTTAGTATTAAAAAAATTTGAATCGAACAAAAAATTAACAAACAATAAAATTCCAACAACATTGACAAGACATATCACAGCTATTGTATGTTTGAAAAAAGTGTTCCTCCAAATCATGATGAATTGATTCTATTTTCAGTCAGAAATGAATACAGTTATTTTCTTAGCCTCATTCCTTCTCTTGTCTTTGAACTGAAAAAAGAAACCATTGATGTTATCAAAAATGATATATTTACTAAATTAACCCTGTAATTAAACTTAGTAAATAATAGCTGCTATATTGTACCGTACTGTTGATGTTGTTTTCGATACAATTGGTACATTCATTATTAATGCTTTACAAATATAAAAATAGTCTCAAACAAATCATTTTCAACACATATCGTTATAATTTGTATTGATATTTTATGCTTTTATAACAAACAATGAAGTTGAAATACATGCACTGTTATTGGCAATAAAATAGGCACTGAACAGTTTATCTCTGTGGTTGAGAGTGAGAAATGTTTTTTTTTTAAATATCCACCCAATACAAACTAGGTCTTTTCAGAACTGACATACGATTCAATTTTATTTCAATAATTCGCTTGTGTGTTGGGGTCTTTAGCAGTGGGAAGATACCAGAGAACCCAGATAAAACTCATGAAGATGGACAGACGACCCTACTCCTTGTCACATAAAAGCAGGGAATTGAAACCACACTACTAGACTCAATGGCAGATCTTACGATCTCTAACCCCTCAAAACAGCTCTTCCTTTTTATAGAAATGTTCACGACACTAGGCCTAGTTCTTAAAGGAGCTAAATCGCTAATATTTGGGACCTGCAAATTGACACAAATGGCTCGCAACGTATATAACAATGTAATATGAATGTAAATATACTGATTTACATTCAATCGTTTCCATTTTTACTCTAATTTCAAATCAGTTATGTTCAGCGAAATACGCCTGAAGTCTCAATCGAATGGCAATCTCTAGCATCCGGTTATTTCAGTCTACACCGATAGTATTTATTGAGCATGCTCTCCAGATAAGAATATGGGGTCACCTTTTGACATGACTTGTGGAATATGTCTAACCTCGGGACGTTCTTCCGAGTCGCTTGTTACAAATTGCGCTGAAACGCATTATGGTACACGATTCGTGTACCAATCGTAAAATGTTTACTTCGTCTTTAATATTGGATATCAGAAGCCCATCTTTTCCCGGTAAGACCACAACACCAATGTTGATTAAAATTGACAAATAATTTGTGTTTTCATTGTCGAAGGTTTTGGATGATACTGAGTTAGAGACTTAGCTACTTTAAGCATAGTCGTTCACCTAGCTCAGACAATTTGGGATGGTAATTCTAATATCAGCATTGGTCTAGGCTTTAAATAATTCAGTATAGATTACACCCCACACCCCATTTAGAATATATCATGCCGAAATGAAAAAAACATTGTCAGATCACATCCAAAATCAACCTCTCTGTTGTCAATAGTTAGTAGTGACATATGTTAGATCTAGTACTTTTTGTAGATGAATCCTCTTTTCTTGTTGGCTGTTCATGAGACTTTTTGCACTTTAAAATTACATCTGATCATTCCCATCAATGTAATTGTAAATATATCACCTCTATATGTGAGAAATCAGACAACACACTGAACAAAGAAGTAAACATGAAATGTTATTTCATATACCGTAGTAACTTACAGTAGGGCCTACACAGAGTTGTCGTCGAGCTTTCTTCCAGCATCCTTGTAGTCGTTGTACCTGGACGCCAAAGTCTAGATCATCAAGACGTGAATCTTTTAAGAAAAAAAACAAAGTATACCTCTTTGGGAGAATAACAATTAAAGGGAGGTAAGTTATAGTCAGACTCTTGCCAAAGGGGCGTGATACGTATGTTTTTATTCTTCTGATTCTTCGCAAATATTTTATGCCGATTACAATTTGTGGATTAAGAAACGTTACTTCTACACATAAGCAAAGTGAACAGTAGTGATTGGGTGTGTATGGCGAGTCAGAAAGAATGCTTTCTCTTTTCAGAACGCAATATTTTTGATAATTTGATAGGTATAATATATATATATTGTGAGGTATAGTCAGCGATTTTGTTTTTGTTTTTGTTTTTTGGGGTTTTTTTTATCTTTTTTTTGGGGGGGGGGGGGGGGGTTGTACATTCCTATCGAAAGATATAGAATTTTGGCGAACCGCTTTAGGTGCTACATTTTTCAGTGCTACAAATTCGACAAATTTTTCGAGCATAAAGTTCGCTTAACTGGATCTCACAATTCTGTAAAGGTATGTTATATTGGCATTATTTTTCCCCCACTCACAAATGAGGTGAGAAATAATGTTGCTGGGATTCTTGAATCTGTCCATCAAACTTTTCCAATTTTCCGAACAAACTCTTTAGAATTTAAAGATTTGCGTTTTATTGCCCCAGATTGATTTCAGTTTGATTTATCCCACCCGACTGTTTCAAGCCACCGTTTTTCCGTTAACCTGCAGCTATTTTCTTTGACTGAAGAATCCCTTCCAAAACAAATAAAAAAGTTGAAAATGATGATGTCGGGACAAAATATCCGCACCCTATTAAAAATCACCCTTTCTAATCGAATTTTCATATTTCTTAAAATCACACATACAGTTATACCAATCTATTGCACACGTGGTTATCATTTTGTTAAGTATTGCAACGAAAATTTTTGCTTCGCCCGATTTTCATTGCAGACCCACTTGCGTTTTCATCGTCCATAATACATGTACGTGCAATGAGCAATTACCCCCCCTCCCCCCCTCCGCGCATATCGATATACATTTCGTACAGCTTTAGGTTAATTAATCTACAATGGAGGCGACATTCATTTTACTTCTAAATGGGAATAGACAATACTTAAGCCTCTTTGATTAATACAACCGGATAGGTAATTCTCTACAAGGACATGCACTAGAATCGATATTGAATCAAGAACAGAGATTCAACAAATATCCTAGATAATTTACAAGCCCCTGTGGAGCAGAGGTAGCTCCGTCGTGGCATGTTTGTTTATTATATTGACACATGATAATGATGGACTATGTATAGCTTTATATTTATTCAGGCCTTAGATAAAACAGCTTGCGATATCAATAAACATTTTTACCACGTTAGGGAACCCTGTACCAAGTGACTCAGCGTATATGATTTTTAAGGACTAACACACAATAAATAATTTGCAATAGTTTTAATAAGTCATTATATAATATACATTCATTGTTGTCTTAATACAATGTTATAACCTGTCATTGTGACCATACAATATTGTGAATTTAGCACCCTTCTATGTAGGCAAATCATGAATTTAAACAATAGGCTATGTACAATAACATAAAATACTTTCTAAAAATCGTTTCCAAAATCTGGTGTCGATCAAAGTTTCAGTATCTTTATGCACAGAGATTCAAGTTATTCTTGAGATCAAAGATTAACTTATCGCTGTCGTCATCACGGTGTCTGTATCGGTAACCTCGGTAATAAGGACGACCGTAATCGTAACCTGTTTCTGTAATAAAAATAAAAGACATTTTTTGGTTTAAAAAAAACAAAACTTAGTAACACACCGGGCGATTTCATTTCACAGATAATTTTATCCATGCTCTCGTACTTATGTTGAATTGCTATAGGCATGGCATGGTGAAGACCTAATGCGGCCCTATGTACCGATATAGTTATACCCCCCCACCCCCCACTACACACCAATCACCACCACCGCATGTATGTACTTAAATAGATACTAAACAGTAAGATAAATATGTATCTCTCAAAATGAAAAAGAACCATTTACGCTAAAATCACAATAACTTTTAGCGGCATTACTTTTGTGGTAAATCAGGCACTGAAAAATACTTTGTGATGCCCCACCCTCTGCGATTGGTACCACAAGCACACACTTAATAGTTAATATAGACAAACCAGGGCCAGCGGCTTTTGATAAAGGTTGGGGGCGAGGGACGTGCAGTTTTGAGATGGGTATTATAATAATTTTGTGCTTACCATATTCAACATCATCATAATCAGGTCTCATGTATCCTGAAGATATAAATAGTATTCGGTGTTAAATTGTAAATTATTAGAAAATACATTATGGCAATCTTATTTTTAAAATAAATTGTAGACTAATACAAGTCTCCCAGCAATATTTCGTCCTTACCTCAACGTTTGCACCAATTATACAACTATATTTTATAGCATTAGGAATAGTGGGAACTTGGGGCAGTCCGTTCCTTCGGAAAATACGATAACATTTTCAGTAATTGAAATATCGATTACACAATAAGTTTATTATTCCCACAATTCCTTTAAAACACATATAATGAAAGTACTTCCAATTTTGTTTCAATGACAGATATATATCAGGAATATTGGGAACTGCAAACAGATCCAAAAGACACGCACGTTTTCAGTAATGGAAATATTGAAACGAAAACTTCAAAACCGCGTATACGTAACAGATTTATTATTCCCGCAATATTATTCGTTTACCTTTCTTACCTCGTCTTAGTTTTCTACCTCTTCTTCCTTCCCGGTCTCGTCTTGCTTTTCGTCCTTTCCTGCTTCGTCTAGCTTTTTGTCCTTTCCTGCCTCGTCTTGTTTTTCGCCCACTTCTACCTTTTCGTCCTCGTCTTGCTTGTCGACCTCGTCTACCCTTCCTGCCTCGACTTGCTTTTCGACCTTTCCTGCCTCGTCTAGCTTTTCGTGCTTTCCTGCCTCTTCTTGCTTTTCGACCTCTTCTGGCTTTACTGCCACGTTTTGCTTTTCGACCTAAACTACCTTTCCTACCTCGTCTTGCTTTTCGACCTCTTCTACCTTTCTTGCCTTGTCTTGTTTTTCGTCCTCGTCTACCTTTCCTACCTCGTCCTGCTTTTCGACCTCTTCTACCTTTGCTGCCTCGTTTTACTTTTCGACCTTGTCTAACTTTCCTGCCTCGTTTTGCTTTCCGACCTCGTTTTGCTTTTCGTCCTTTCCTGCCTTTCCTGCCTCTTCTTGCTTTTCGACCTCTTCTGGCTTTACTGCCTCGTTTTGCTTTTCGACCTCGTCTACCTTTCCTACCTCGTCTTGCTTTTCGACCTCTTCTACCTTTCTTGCCTCGTCTTGTTTTTCGTCCTCGACTACCTTTTCTGCCTCGTCTTGCTTTTCGTCCTTTCCTTCCTCGTCTAGCTTTTCGACCTCGTCTAACTTTTTTACCTCGTCTTAGTTTTCTACCTCGTCTACCTTTCCTGCCTCGTCTTACTTTTCGACCTCGTTTGCCCTTCCTGCCTCGTCTTGTTTTTCGTCCTCGACTACCTTTCCTGCCTCGTCTTGCTTTTCGTCCTTTCCTTCCTCGTCTTGTTTTTCTTCCTTTTCTGCCTCGTCTTGCTTTTCGTCCTTTCCTTCCTCGTCTTGTTTTTCTTCCTTTCCTTGCTTTTCTTCCTTTTCTTCCTTTCTTGACTTTTCTTCCTTTCCTACCTCTTCGAACTTTTTTTCCTTTTCTTGCTTTTCGCCCTTCCCTGCCCCTTCGCCCTTTCCTACCTCGTCTTGCTTTTCGTCCTTTCCTTCCTCGTCTTGTTTTTCTTCCTTTCCTTGCTTTTCTACCTTTTGTTGCTTTTCTTCCTTTCCTTCCTCTTCGACCTTTTTTTCCTTTTCTTGCTTTTCGCCCTTTACTACTCCTTCGCCCTTTCCTGCCTCGTCTTGCTTTTCGACCTCGTCTACCTTTCCTGCCTCGTCTTGCTTTTCTACCTTTCCTTCCTCGTCTTGTTTTTCTACCTTTCCTGCCTCGTCTTGCTTTTCGTCCTTTCCTTCCTCGTCTTGTTTTTCTGCCTTTCCTGCCCCGTCTTGCTTTTCGTCCCTTCCTGCCTCGTCTTATTTTTCTACCTTTCCTGCCTCGTCTTGCTTTTCGTCCTTTCCTTCCTCGTCTTATTTTTCTACCTTTCCTGCCTCGTCTTGCTTTTCGACCTCTTCTACCTTTCTTGCCTCGTCTTGTTTTTCTACCTTTCCTGCCTCGTCTTGCTTTTCTACCTTTCCTGCCTCGTCTTGCTTTTCGTCCTTTCCTTCCTCGTCTTGTTTTTCTACCTTTCCTGCCTCGTCTTGCTTTTCGACCTCTTCTACCTTTCTTGCCTTGTCTTGTTTTTCTACCTTTCCTGCCTCGTCTTGCTTTTCTACCTTTCCTGCCTCGTCTTGCTTTTCTACCTTTCCTGCCTCGTCTTGCTTTTCGTCCTTTCCTTCCTCGTCTTGTTTTTCTACCTTTCCTGCCTCGTCTTGCTTTTCGACCTCTTCTACCTTTCTTGCCTCGTCTTGTTTTTCTACCTTTCCTGCCTCGTCTTGCTTTTCTTCCTTTCCTGCCTCGTCTTGCTTTTCGTCCTTTCCTTCCTCGCCTTGTTTTTCTTCCTTTCCTTGCTTTTCTTCCTTTTCTTGCTTTTCTTCCTTTCCTACCTCTTCGACCTTTTTTTCCTCGTCTTGCTTTTCGCCCTTTCCTGCCCCTTCGCCCTTTCCTGCCTCGTCTTGCTTTTCGTCCTTTCCTTCCTCGTCTTGTTTTTCTTCCTTTCCTGCCTCGTCTTGCTTTTCTTCCTTTCCTGCTTCGTCTTGTTTTTCTTCCTTTCCTGCCTCGTCTTGCTTTTCGTCCTTTCCTTCCTCGTCTTGTTTTTCTTCCTTTCCTGCCTCGTCTTGCTTTTCGTCCTTTCCTTCCTCGTCTTGTTTTTCTTCCTTTCCTGCCTCGTCTTGCTTTTCGTCCTTTCCTTCCTCGTCTTGTTTTTCTTCCTTTCCTTGCTTTTCTTGCTTTTGTTCCTTTCTTTACTTTTCTGCCTTTCCTGCCTCTTCGACCTTTTTTTCCTTTTCTTGCTTTTCGCCCTTTCCTGCCCCTTCGCCCTTTCCTGCCTCGTCTTGATTTTCGTCCTTTCCTTCCTCGTCTTGTTTTTCTTCCTTTCCTGCCTCGTCTTGCTTTTCGTCCTTTCCTTCCTCGTCTTGTTTTTCTTCCTTTCCTCGCTTTTCTTCCTTTGTTTGCTTTTCTTCCTTTCCTTGCTTTTCTTCCTTTCCTGCCTCTTCGACCTTTCTTTCCTTTTCTTGCTTTTCGCCTTTTGCTGCCCCTTCGCCCTTTTCTTCCTTTTCTTGCTTTTCGGCCTTTCCTGCCTTTTCGCCCCTTTCTTCCTTTCCTACCTCGTCTTGCTTTACGGCCTCGTCTACCTTTCCTGCCTCGTCTTGCCTTTCGCCCTTTCTTGCTTCGTCGCCCTTTTCTGCCTTTTCGACCACGTCTTGCTTTCTTTCCCTTACGACCCCTTCCTGATTTACGACCTCGGCTGCCTTTGCGACCTTTACTAGCTTTTCGTCCTTTTCTGCCACCTCGTCCTCGTTTAACTTTTTTGCCATCGACGTATTCCCAATCATATTCCCATCTTTCTGTTAGAAATATATAATTCAGAAATTGAAGCTGAACGACGTTAAATTGGGTTGACCTGATATGCTATTTTAAATAGTGATATATGTATAGATTTTTTTTTTATTTCAAAAGATTAATCGTCTGTAGTCTTGTAAATTATTTCATTTCAAATTTCGGATTACTTTGTCATCAGAGAGACGCAAAATCTCAAAGTATACACCCCGAAAAGTACCCACAGATCATGCGCCACACTCACACCCTTCTCGCTTTACAAATTTTATTATGAGCGGATCTCGGTAAAACATTTCAAAATATTTGAAGACAAACTACTCTTACCTTTTCTTACTCGTCTTCTACCTCCTCGACTAGCTGTTTAAAATAACAAACAATAAAGAATGTCAACAAGAAATGCTGTATAAGGATCGCATTAACAAATTTGGAGAATAAGCTACGAAAAGTACTAAAGGAATTAAACGGTTCGGTTGAAAACTGGTTAAATACGACGAGTATAGGAATGTAAAAATAATTTTATGAAAACAAAGTCATCCAATATCAACTCACCTTTTTTTCCTTTCCTTCCCTTTCGGCCTTTTCTTCCCTTCCTTGCTTTTCGTCCTTTCTTACCTCGTCGGCTTTTTCTGCCTCGTTGCCCTTTTCTGCCTTTTCGAGCCCGTCTTGCTTTCTTTCCCTTTCGACCTCTTCGTGCTTTCCTGCCCCGTTGGCCTTTTCTCCCTTTCCTGCCCCGCTTGCCTTTGCGGCCTTTACTAGCTCTTCGTCCTTTTTGTCCGCCTCGTCGTCGTTTAACCTTTTTGCCATCGACGTATTCCCAATCATACTCCCATCTTTCTATTAAAAATATATAATTCAGAAATTGAAGCTTAAAGGCTTTAAACCTCTTTTATGAGGAGTCAATAAGAAATATAATTTTCTGGTAGGCATCGATCAACAAACAGCAAAGCGAGTTTAAAATGGCAGGTTTAACCTTTATATTAAAAAACTTAACTAACCTACTCTTCGTCTTCGACCTTTACCTTTACTGGCTGTAATAAACAAATCATAATGTCATCAACATTTGTCAATTTGAAAAATGTTATATTTAGTGTAATCGTAGGCCAGATAAAGATAAACTGAAACTAACATATGATCTGTAGATTGATGTGTACAGATTCTGAAACATAAGACCGTACAATCAATACGATTTAAAGGATTTTAACATATTTACCCTTTCGTCCTTTACTGCCCCTTCGACCTCGTCTTGCCTTCCTTCCTTTTCGACCTTTCCTTCCTTTTCGACCTTTCCTTCCTTTTCGACCTTTTCGTCCTCTCCTAGCTTTTCGTCCTTTCCTAGCTTTTCGACCTTTTCGACCTTTCCTAGCTTTTCGACCCTTTCGTCCTTTCCTTCCCTTTCTGCCCTATCGCCCTTTCCTGCCTCGCCTGACTTTTCGACCTTTCCTAGCTTTTCGTCCTTTTCTTCCGCCTCGTCGTCTTTTCACTTTTTTGCCATCAACGTATTCCCATTCGTATTCCCAATTTTCTGTTGAACAGATATAATAAAAATTAGTTGCGTTGAATGGACTCTTGGTTTTAAAGTTGATCAAAAAACATGATAAAATGTTTACTGTAGAGTAAATAATTTTGGGATTGCCGTCTTCGGTCGAATAAATGTTGGTTCACAAAATAAAACAAAGAAAAATGAATATTTTGGAACCAAAATAACTTTACCTTTTCGGACTCGTTTGCCATTTCGACCTCGTCGACTTGCTGTTAAAATAAACGACATACAATTAATAAAATGAATACTAATACTGTCTAAAAGTCGATTCATGGTCAAATCCAATACATAATACGTACAGGGACATAAAATAGGTGTAACTGGTGAAAACAGACCATTAATTACAATAAAAAAAAATAACCTCAGAAAGTAAAATAAAACATAATAACATTAAAATAAATATTTACCTTTTCGTCCCTTTCTGCCTTTTCGACCTTTCCTAGCTTTTCGTCCCTTCCTTCCCTTTCTGCCCTTTCGTACTTTCCTTCCTCCTCTGCCTTTTCGACCTTTCCTAGCTTTTCGTCCCTTTCTTCCGCCTCGTCGTCGTTTAACCTTTTTGCCATCAACGTATTCCCATTCATATTCCCAATTTTCTATTAAAAGAATATAATTCAGAAATTGAAGCTTAAAGGCATAAAACCGATATTATTTACGTCAATATAATATTGAATTGGAGTGATCTTGATGAAAGAATGAACAGAAGTCGATTTGTTTATAAATTCTATTTTTAAGCATCCAGAAAAGAGTCCATAGACCATGTGCCACACCCTCAGCCTAATATTTTCTGCCTTCACTTCTCTGCAGACAAATATTTCAAAACAAATTATATTTACCTTTTCTTACTCGTCTTCTACCTCCTCGACTAGCTGTTTAGAATAACAAACAATAAACAATTTTAACAAGGAATACTGTTATAATCTGATTTACAACTTGGCTATAAAATATACTAGAAGAATTAAACGGGTCTGTTGAAAATAGGCTAAATATGTAAGGTATAGGAATGTAAATATAAAATAAAACAATTATATAAAAACAATAAAAAACATTATTTACTCACCTTTTCTTCCTTTCCTGCCCCTTTGAACTTTTTTTCCTCTCCTTGCTTTTCGCCCTTTCCTATCTCGTCGACCCTTTCTACCCTTTCTGGCTCCCCTTACTTTTCTCGCTTTTCTCGCTTTCCTGCCTCGTCGACCTTTACTACCTTTTCTCGCTTTCCTGCCTCGTCGACCCTTTCTACCTTTACTGCCTTTCCTACCTTTTCGGCCTTTGCGTCCTTTTCGGCCTTTGCGTCCTTTTCTGGCTTTTCGACCTTTCCTGCCTCTTACGCCTTTGCGTCCTTTTCTGGCTTTCCTGCCTCTTCGACCTTTGCGACCTTTTCTGCCTTTGCGTCCTTTTCTGGCTTTTCGGCCTTTGCGTCCTTTTCTGCCTTTTCTGCCTTTTCGGCCTTTCCTGCCTCTTCCGCCTTTGCGTCCTTTTCTGGCTTTTCGGCCTTTCCTGCCCCGTCGACCCTTTCTTCCTCGCCTTGCATTTCGTCCTTCCCCGCCTCGTCGACCTCTGCTTGACGATGACCCATCTATAATTTTGAAATTTGGATCATAATAAGAGTTATGTATATTGAACTACTCCTATATGTGGAGGTTGTTTTCCTATATGTGTAGGTTGTTTTCAATCAGACGTAACGAATTACCGAGGTTCGTCCAGTATTTCTATGAAAATTATTCGTAGACACATCTACAAAGGCAAGACCACCCTCCACAAACACACCCCTACTTCTCACTGTACTCATAGCGAAGGTCTAAAATGACCTAATAATATACCAGCTCAACAAAACAAATAGAATACATTCAGGACAATAAAATATAATATAAAAACCGTTATCACGGTGTCAACACTAATCATTTCAATATTAAACTGAATAACTTCCGAAGGCCTAAATATAATTTCCCTAGTGCATGAGCATGGCGGTTGTCATAAAGTGGAGCTACAAGTAGTAGGTACCATCATAACACTTGTCATAACGTAATACCCACATTATTAGTTTACACTTGGACGAAATATTTAAGTAATACGAACTGATTGATTACCTGAAGAAGAGGAGCTGCTGCTACTGCCACTACTACTACTTCGACTGCTACTGCTACTACTGCTTGCTTTAAAAAGAAAATATTAGGCAAAATGTATGCACAAATTATATTTGATTTTCGTCAAAATTGAGGTTAAAGCAGAATAAGTTACATATTTTACACGAGTAGAATATTTGCAAGTGAAATTTTAAAGAATAAGAAAAATAACAAAACATACCACTAGAGCTTCCTCCATCTTCTACTAAATAAAGGAAACAAATATACAAAATAATATTTAATATACAGAACTATTGATTTAGTTGGATTTGAATATGTTCTGTTATAGTCACGCTCGCTCGTCTGCCTCCACTGGGATTTCACAGATTTGCTCAAATTAAGATAAACTCTGGTTTTAAATTATAGTCTTCAATAATACCATGTTACTTTCTAACCGGATATAAAGAAAATACATATTATATCAACTTAAATAAAGACTAGATTTAAACAGAAATCAATTTTCTTGTCTTTCTTCAACTTTTCAGCGTTCTTACTATATTATACAATTTGCATACCCATTCTTTAATAGGGAGCCGGTGTAGCTTAGTTCATAACACGCCGGTTCGTTAAAGGGCGTTTCGTGTTCGCGTTGTTTCCCCTTTGTAGTGGCGCCAGGCGGATTGCCTGGCACTAACAGCGTTTAGTTGTTCGGATGGGCCTGTGTACACATTGGCATGCAAGTAAAAGAACCCTATAACAGTTGGAATTCGAAATAAGAGTATGCCTTAGCGCCGCTGTCCGGGCAAAATTACCCTTATACACTCATGAGGTATGCTTATCTTCATTAGTCTAAATCTAGTCGACACAGACGTTGTGCCCGCAGCCGATCAATTTATGTATTTTAGTTTAACGGTTAGAGGGAGGCAACTCTCTTTATTAAAAAGGATGATGTAAGCAAGCGGGAAGCGTGCAAAAGAAAGATGGCGAAGTAAACAGCGGTCTCAAACTATTTGAAACCGTTGTCAACGGTATTAACGTTAAAGTTTTCCTATAGATGCTCAATGCTTATGTCACACGGTTA